ATATATATATATATATATATATATATATATATATATATATATATAAATGTAAAAAACATCTGTCTCTATATCTATCTACATTGTACTTCTGCATATTATTATTTATTATCATTCTGTATTATGAGTAATTATTAGACCCACAGGTATAGGCTATATTCAAAAGACACAACATTAACCAAACCATGCTGACCTTTGGCTAGTAGTACTTAAAAAGTAATTATATATGTTCTGTGGTTTCCAATTTTCTAGGAGTGTTGATACTGTTGGCCTAACGATGTTGCAAAACATTTTGTGTTCAAGGATCGTATTAAGGAATCTAGTATATACATAGTAATAAAAAGTGAAATGTTGGCTATGTTGCACATGAAATTACATGTCTCTTATGCTACACGTGACCAGGATCAGGTCAAATTGAACAGTCTTGAATAAAATTTTAAATGATTAAAACTAATAAAATGGTAATTTGCGATAATACATTTTTATCGTATACTTTATTTCTTTCCTACTTTTGGCAATTCATTTTATATGGTTTGTGAAAGAGAGTGGTTCTTATATATTGATTTTAGTGCTACATCTCAATGGGTATCCTCTTCCATGATGCAAATATTTAACTCTCTATTAACTTGCATGTTAACCTATTCCGTATTTTATTAACATAAAGCATAATTTAGCTGTTTTTCGCAATATTTCAAACCCAAAAAACTCTGTGAACTGGTAGGGTTTGATAATTAGTGCATCATAAGATGGACCATCAAGTAAGAATGACATTCATTTAAGTTTTGTACATTTAGTTGAATAAATGTTAAGGTTATAATTTACAGCAAACAATGGGTATACATTTTCCATTAATTGACTAAGTTTTAGATAAAGTCAAAACCAAAGCTCTGAACTCGGAAAAAATATTAATAATTGCAATCTCTTCAATTGGATGAAGAAGGGTTTTGAGTGTCGTCGAACGAAGAGTTGACAACACTCTTGTTGTCAACTCCTTTTTTTCCCTTTTTTAAAATATGAGACCGACTTTACCTGCTGTGGAGCAAAAGTAGTTATTGTATACATGGAGAACCGTAATATTTAAAGAGTTCATGCAGAACTAATTTGTACTTGTGTATAATAGTCAACACATGATACAGTAGTTAGACCATAATATATCTATTGAAAACATAGTAGTAATCTCGGAGTACTAGCTCATTCCCAGCACAATTGTCTCAATTAAAACACTGTTCTACGCCGTGGGAACCACTTAAAACTGATTATTGATACTGATTTGCAGATTTATTTTTATAGCAGTGTCTACATAATATCTACGTACACTTGTTCAAAATATAGCAAAGGTTTGCTTTTGCGGCTGTCATAAACATTACACATGTATTTTCCCTTGAAAATAATATAAAAAAAATCATAAACAAATATTTTGAATTTAACTTGCTCATTTTGCAGTAACATTTAAATTATTCCTTAAGCATCGGAAAGACTGAATTAAAAAAATGTCTACCCTTATTTTTAAACTGAATAATAATAATAATAATAGGCCTAATAATAATAATAATAATGTACTGTTGAATGTTGCGGGAAGTTGAAGAGGCAATCGTTAAGGATGTTATGGTTACCATGTCATTATTTTTCAAAAGGACATCTTTGTATTTAATGTTTTGAGTGTCTCTGCTGAATAGGCCTGTGCAGTTTGATCAAGGGTACATAAAGAATTTTTCAAAGAGGGGGAGGGGAGAGGGGGTGGGCAGAACAGTTTCAGAATAATTAAGCTAGTAGCACATAACATTGCACTGAAATTTAACAAAATTAGTGGCAAAACGGGGCAAGCACGTTCACCACCCCTTTCATGTGCGCTCCCTGTCCCCTTTGGCAGCAGGGCTACCCTCTTGTACGTGAAAATACAGTATATATACAGTAGGCCTAGCCTAATTTGACATGATAGAAATGTTTTTCTTTTGAATAAAATAGGTGGATATGCATGCATATTGAGACGCGTTTACGTAAATTCAAAGTATTGATCGGTGGATCTGGTTTAACCCTAAATTTAACATAATGCACCATTATGGCATTGCGGAAGAATAGCCATATTGATACGACCCGGATTCGATCTAGAGAGAGAAAGAGGGTAGGCCCTAGCTAACTTATCCAGGAAACAGTGAAATTTTACTGTTCCCTGACTAAACTAAATCTAGGTCTAGTGTGTCTCATCGTAGGCTAGGCCTGTAGGGCTACGATAACAGAGTATATTAGGTTGAGCTTATATCATGGCTTGTGCCGAAGTGTATCTTTATTTTTACCTGATCGATTTCTAAAACATGGTGTTTATTGCTGATGTTCTGAGCTTAATGCATTGGGTACTAGGAAGTGGTACGGGAACGTGCTGCTCACTCATTTTGTTGACGTGTGATGAGAGAGAATCACTGCGCGGTGACGTAATGAAGCTGCGAAACATAGACTGGTTCTTTTACGGCCTACCACGGGTTTTTTTACCTAAGCACTGCGGTACAGAATAGATGGGGTACTCTATTTATGTGACGTAAACAACTCGCGAAACATGGCGAAACAGGTACTGATTTTCGGTGGTTTTTTGCTGTATTTTCGTTGTTATATCTAATATCTAGCCTAGAAAAGTAGCGGAATGTGGTCGTGACATATAGAAACCCCAGGGTATGAGATATGAACATATTCCTTATAGCGGTTTCAGAGGAGATAGGTGAACTTACACCAGGGCGTTAGTATAATTAATATAATAATAATAATAATAATAATAATAATAATAATAATAATAATAATAATAATAATAAAATACTTCCAGTGACTGGATGTTTTTTCTATAATTTTCGCTTAAAAATGATGGGTAAACATTTTCGAAATGCACTAGTTTTTATAATAATAATAATAATAATAATAATACAAATAATAATAATAATGTAGAAATTAACAACGCGCCCATTCAAAAATATTATCAAAAGCGCAGTGAACAATTACCCCAATTAAATTTTGTAAACAAAGAATTTTTCAAATTATTATTAAATGAGTGAATTTGAAGACTGTCGAACAGAAAGAGGTAAAGACTCCAAAGATATGGTGCCTGAGCATAAAAAGAATGTTGTCCATATGCTTTTAGGTTTTTTCTTTTATGAAGGGCTTATGCTTAAGTTGATAGTTCCTTTGTTACTTTCAAATGGATACTGTTTTTTTTCTTTCTTTTTTTTGTATTTTTGCATGTTGCATGGGACAATGCAGCTTTAAGGTACCAAAACAATTATTTTATGTCAATTTGAATTATTTCAAATGATCTTACGGAATTAAAAAAAAATTATTATTATTATTATTATTATTATTATTATTATTATTATTATTATTATTAATTATTATTAATTCAAATCTAAAATACTTATTTATTGTTAAACATTATATCGTCATTGTATGAAGATAAATTGGTTTCGATCAAATAAATGTAGGCGGTTCTTTCTAATCATCCATTGTGTAAAAGAATGCTACTTACTTTACTTGATCCTTCGCCTGCTACTAGAATGACGTAATCATACACTACTATATTTATAACTGTCGTGGGCATTTTGAAATGTTCCGATGGACAATGAAAAACGGTGCTCTCCCTCCTCTGTTTATGTATACTTGTTTTTAATGATTGTTAGGTTTCTATTACTATAATATGCTTTCACATTTAGAACGGTCGAGCTTGTAGACGATGCCACATGTGTTATAATTCCCCTTTCCTTTCAGAAGGAGATTTCGAAGTGTATTGCAGTAGCGCACGTCGTGTATGTGTGTGTGTGTGTGTGTGCCCTTCAGGGCACATAGCTCCAAATTTGAGTTAATTTAAATTGTTACACATTGACAATGTTACATGTCCTCCATAAATTTGGTGATAATCTGAAGTATAAAATTAAAGATATATAATAGTATGTAGTGTAAAGGTATAAAATCAGTTCATTATTTCATTATGATTTAAATTAACTATAAAAAGTACATAAATGTCAATATTTTTCAGTACTTAGATAATATCCCCAGAGAGTATAAGGATTTGTAAACTCAGATTATCTTGTTTGAATTATATTTTAAACGAAAGTTTTGTCTGTTTTGTGGAACATAATATGCGTTAATGTTATGTTCTTCTTTCCTCATCCAAGACAATTGGATTTTAGCAGTTACTTTCTACTAGTTTAGTATTATTTAGTCAGCTAAATTCGGTGGTATCCACTGTGTGTACAGGTGAACCCTGGAGAACTCTAGGTCCCATGTTCAATACCCATCGCTACTCTTCTTGTGTTTCAGCTGGAGAGATGAAACATATTACGATAGCTCATCGTCTTTCGGTGAGAGGTTTAATGTATATTACTTCTTCTTCTTATCGACTAAATTTTGCTAAGCCATATATTTAGTTCTGTTAGTGAAAACCGTAAGTCACATTGTTTATATTCATTTACATGTAATGTGATTCCCTCATTATCGTTTTCATTGCTAATATTATTTGATAATATTTCTACTGCTAAAAAAAAGTGAAGGCGATAACGGACAATCCTGTCTTACATTCTTCTTTAGTTCAAGGTATTTAGGTATAAGCCGAGACTATCTTTATGTTACTATTTGCCACATAATACAATTTGTTTAATCCATATCATGAAGGTTAGGCCAAAATTATTTGTTTTTCCAAAATGGATATCACAAAGATTCAGCTTATTTGATCAAAAGCTTTTCTAAAGTCTAGGCAGAAATTACACCACCAACGTTATGTTGGTATGTGTAATGGATTGCATTTTCTATTAGGCGAATATTTTCTGCAATACCTCTGTTTGTGATATAACCTGTTTGATATTCACTAAATATTTCTGATGAACGTTTTTTTTTTTTTTTTCGGATTGCCATAAGGGTCTGTAGCTGCAATTTTGTAGTCTGTATATAAAAGAGTGTTATTGGCCACCAATTTTTCAAATTATCTTTATCTCACCCTGTCGCTGAGACAAGGTAAGGCGCTCTTTATCGTGAGCTTCCTTGTAAATCTCAATAAGATAGTTTCAAGTTCTTTACAAAACACTCGATAAAATGCTACAAAAATCTCTTCAGGGCCCGGGAATTTCTCAATGGTCATTCTTTCGATGGTTGTTTTAATATAATATTATTACAGTAGTAAGCAGTTGAAAAAAAATAGGTCAGAGTCAGCTGTTGGGAAATCGTGTAAATTCATTTTAATTTTGATTTCTAATATATTAGTTTAGCGAACAAACTGATTAGAGTCCAATAATTATTGTATTATTAACATATATTGTTGTTATCATTCAAGTCTGTACCAGGAGTTCTCACGATTTCGCAAAAGCATGATTAATGAAGTCATTGTGAATGTGTTACTTTTTATTCAAACACTTTCTTGATTTAAACCTGCATTGCCGTTATTACTACCCTCAAATTTATTGTTGTCGTCCTGATTACTTTTTACTCTGAAGTAAACTGGATTACTCAAAATAAAGTATATATTAACAGTATTCTGTTTAATGGTATTCATTCATATAATATTTTAAAATACACATCATTAATTGTTATATCAGATTAGTTTAAATAAATTGAAATGTATGATATACCATATACTATTGGAACCAATTTTCAAATTTTAAATAACCATTATAATAATACATCACAAAATTAATGAGACAATTTTATGTCTACTACTCGCTGCATGTTCCACACATCTTGGGACAGTTTTTGAGGACGAAGTCATAGGTGGAACACTGCCGAAAATACCAGCCAGCATTGCAATAAGCAGAAATGTCTCGACAATCTCCTAAAGGAAAAGAAAACCGCTGATGAAAATACTGTAATAATAAATATTGGTGAAAATGAGCTAAATCGACATGGAATATCAACCTACCAGTTGTTTGTCTGTCTCCGTCCGTTGTGGTTGGCCGCTCTGTCGTCGATTTTACAGTTGTTGATTCTCAATAAAATAAATAATATTGGAAAAGTTATTTTAAGTTTTTAATGATATATAACTTTTCATAGTTCATAGAGAGGCAAAACGTTATAAAATCAAATAAGATGAACAAAATCTACCCAACTTACCGACACAAACGGAACTTGGGTCAGGGTCAGCTGTTGGAAGATCATGTACATTTATTTTAATGCTGATATCTAATTTATGATACTATATTAGTACAGCAAACACACTCCACCACTAATTGTACTACCAACGTATATTAATGGTTTAAAATTGTAATATTTTTATTTCAGTAATATTAGTCAACTGAACAAAAAAGAAAAATAGGAAGTCATAAATATAAAATATCTATATCATAGCTAGTACAATAACTAATTCTATTTCTCAATGAAATAGAATGTATAAACAAATTGTTCATAATAAGTCACACGAGATAATTTCCAGAGTTAGTTAACCCATGACTAATTCATAAGATAGGCCTAAAGAAAGCCCTAAAGGAACGAACATATCACTGACACTACGTGATTTGGTCTGTGTAACATCATTCTTAAGTGAGTTGTTATAGTACACTTGTAAATCATGTAGCATTTTGTGATGTATTTTAATGTCTTTTTGGTACAATTGAGTCCTTGATTTTGTATCAAGATTTGATAAAATAAGCGTAATATATTGTAATTAAGATAATACTTTGTTTATCTGTAACTTAATTTCTTTTTAGACATTGTTTCATTTTTATTATATCGTATAAAACAAATTATTAAATAAAGTTTAATACGATAAATCAAGAAGAAAAATGCATGAGCTCTTTTTCTAATTAATAATGTTGTATGTGTCATTGGTGTTATTGAAAATATAACAAAGAATTATGAAAGTAATTAAAAATAATAATAATGTCGGCGTCATTTGATGTATTTTAAAACCATGATAACAAGTAAAACCAATTGATTCACATTAGGCGGTTGCTTCGACTATGCATTTCTCCAGTAGTTACTGAATGCTATGTTCTGTACTGTACTGTACGGAATAATGCTGTTTAAGATTTTTATATTTTTTGCTCAGACAGAGGCAAACGCCAAGGAAAGTTGATAAGTCCAACGATCTACCCCTTTTACCGTATTTCCCCACGTTTTTAAATATTCAAACCTATATCATATTAAGCCCTTTTTTATCTCAATAACCAATAATTTTTCGTCAACGTTTAAGAATAATAATAAGATGACGTTTCTAGTGTTTGTTACACATTTTTATCATCTGTAGATACCAGTGTCCGTTTTAATGTCGCAATCCACTGGCACAACAAGTTTTATGCAGTCCGCCCCATAGTGCTCATAGTCATAAACATGCATGCACTGTAAAGAACTTTGTAGTTTAATAATGAACTGCCCATGCGTGTAATGAAAAAAAAACAGTCGAATTAATTTTAAGCGAATTCGCCTAGCCTAGTGGAAAGATACGACGGCCGTTGCCTACGAGTTTGAGGGCACATCAGCGCCGGTACGTGAACAATGAGGAAGCAAAAGAATACACTGTATTTATTTCGAATTACATAGCGTTTATTCACATTTAGGATAAAAAAATGAGTTTTTAATTTATTTTACGACTAGGCATATCGTAGGTTTATATGTATACTTTTGTTGGAGTAATCGAGTTCTACTTGCTGCCCTGCAATTTTTCCATTGTAGTACCAGGCAGGCCTAGGCTTAGGCCTGCACCAACTGAACTGTTTTCCTTTTTGGAGGGTGCGGTCACACCCCCATCCCCAAGCTATGGCGCTGGACAAAGATCGTCAGCGTAATTGCAGTTATTGAGATTACAGTAGCTCCTCCAAACTCACACCGATGCAAAGAGTTGCTGAGCCTCGTTCAAGTCAGTATTATATATTCTAAAATGGAGACATTGCGCACCCCCTGACGTACAACATCACTAACAGATAATTCTGGTGAAAGAATAATAACCCCACATAACAATAATTGTTTTTGTCTACCGTACCGGAAGAATAAAATGCAAATAACAAAAAATAGGCTTCTTTTGGGGGTGGGGTGGGTATGATAAATTACTAACCGGGAAAATTTGCCTCCCTGACCCAAGACCCCTGTTACGCACCTGGTAGAAAACATATAAAAGCTGAGTTACTGTGTATTATTCAATGGTTTGCTTAACGGAAAAAAATACACATTTGTCAGTTGCGTGATCTGGTTTGAAGGCGAACTGATGATCAACGGGATACAGAGAATCGTTTCAAATCCCTTAGTAATTGTGGCCAATGCAATTGACCTGTAACTGTTTATTTCAGTGACATCGCCTTAACAATAGACGAATACAACTTTTGCAATATCCTCTACTACAAATCTGTGAGATATCATGGAAATAAAAGAGAAAAGAGAAAGCAATAACCCGGTCACTTGCGAAACGCAGGTGTTCTTCTTTACGGTTATATAATCCAGCAGACTTAAGAGTAAGTTCCTTAATACACTTTTGAACCTTATCCGCATATTAGCAGTGACATCAAAGATGTTTGCATTAATATAACTATTAACATCAAGCCCTTGCTCCTCATTCGTAACACTATTGAAAAGATTGCTAAATATAGCCCTTTTAGACTTGCCACAAGTCCCTTATTTATATTTTTTTCTCATTTTGGACATCGCCATCAACAAGCAAGTTAATTTAGAGACGGAATAAGTGACTTGGGAAACACTAAATCAGATACCAGCTACTAAAAAAAAAGTGACGTAATCTTAGCTAGCGGTGAGCAAGGTTAATTTGCAACGGTTATCAGACCATAGTCGTTCACCAAGCCAAAACTAATATACTAACTGTTTTAATTCAAGTAAGTGGGTAGAAGGGAGCTTAGTCCTCCTAATCGAGACATCAGCATCTTCAATTTTGAAAATGTACAATGATTAAGTTATATGCATGAAGTAAGCCAATCAAGTGATTTACAAAATCAGTAATGCAAACAATATCCCACATCGAATTTGATGTGGGAAATTCGATTAAAAAAAAATCGGGTATTGAACGTCAATTAAATTAGGTATGGCGCACACTAAGTGAAATAAAGAGTGAGTAACCCAAAATTAGGGTCTGGAACCCAGGCTAAAATATAATTATTGAAGTCCTTGTGAATGTTTTACTTATATTCAAAATTTTCTTGATTTAAACCTTTTTTTTTTTTAATTTATTGTATCATAATCATCATCATCTGCATTGTCCTTATTATTATCGTCCTCATCATCGTTGTCACCGTGATTTCTTTCTTACTGTCAATTTAAAGGTTTTTAAATAGGCCTACTTGTTATTACAATTGTTATTATATCAGACCTAAATCAGTTTAAATAAATGAATTGTACATATTCGTGTGTCATTTAAAAATATATAATATTCTTTTATAAATGTTAGATAGATATAGTAATAAATCATAAAAACAATCAAGTCAATCTTAAGTCTACTACTCACTGCAAGTGCCGCACATCTTGGGACAGCCATTGAGGACGAAGCCATGGGTGGAGCACTGCGGAAAATACCAGCCAGCATTGCAATAAGCAGAAATGTCTTGACAAATTCCTTAAAACAAAAACACAACTGCTGATGAAATTACTATTCAAAATTAAAATTGATGAAAATTAGCTCCTCTTAATTTTGTTTATATTGGCACACAGTACATCTTTTAAGCAACAATGCAAAGACAACACTAAGACCATAGAATTGCCACTACCCTCAACATTACCATCCAATTACCAGGTGTAGAATTACTTGAAAAAAGGGAAAGGGGAAGGACCTTACTATCTAATTTGTTGAATGAGATGGCTCAATCACAAGATTTCTAACAGCAGAAAATATACTGATGTTGTGAAACATCAAGAGTGCAAGTACCTACCGAATGTTGTGTAACTATTTAATATTATTTTGAAATATAAACATAATAACAAATTATTTTGATTCATCTTGGAAAGCATAAGTTTGGGGTTGAAGATTTGACATAGGCGACTTTGTATACAACTTGAAACCATACATTAAACAGCTAATTCGAGTAAACTCACCTGAGCAATCGTTGCCTACATATCCCTGTTGACACGTACACGAACACTTTTCATAATTCAATGTTCCACAATGTTTACATTGCAGGTTACAAGCTATAATATATAGTAGCAAGCATTGGTGACAAATATATAATATTTCTGTCTATCTATCTAATAATAATATTGCAGGAATTAACAAGATGGATTAAAAAATGCATTGCTAGATATTGTTATGATACGATCGAGTCACAGATAGGCACAGTCTTCAATTACAGCCAAATCAAAACCGTAAATTTCACCACTAAATATCAAAATTTGCATTAAATAATTAAAACGTTCAATTTCTTCTTTTTTATATTTTAGTTGAAATTAGTGTGAAACACTTATGTTTATTAAACAAATAATAGGCCTACAACTGCTGTCATGTCAGTCATAATTAATGGTTTTTAAGGTTATATCTGTCAAGTGTAGGTACTGGTGATAACATGCGTATCCCGGTTAAAGCATGACGTTTTTACTAAACGAATACTTAATAGGCTATAGCCCAAATTAAATAGCAAGATATGTACGGTTATGATCAGTAACTTAGGCAATCTAATCTTTCCGTTAAACCTTTACCAAACTGGACATCGTTTTGGTCTTTTTAACAACACGGCTACTTCTTTCCATACAAGAAAATTCCTGATATTCTCTGTGATTATGTAGGCCTATTATTTTTATATGGATTGTAGGCCTATATCTTAAATGAATGAATGAACAGGACTGATTCTATGGAACGCCATCGCTGCCTTCGGTAATAGCTTACCATTCGGCGCATTTACATTCGGCCCTTTTACCATTACGTTCGGCTCTTTTACCATTCGGCGCATTTTCATTCGGCCCTTTTACCATTACGTTCGGCTCTTTTACCATTTGGCGAATTTTCATTCGGCCCTTTTACCATTCGGCGCATTTACATTCGGCCCTTTTACCATTCGGCGCATTTACATTCGGCGTATTTACATTCGGCGCAATTACAAATGAAATATAACCTTTGACATGGGGTCAAATAAAAAAATTCAACGGCTGTGGGAATGAGCCTATAAGAACTAGAAGAAGTAGGCCTAGGTCTAGAGCCTACGGCAGAATTATGGCAGTTTCATTAGGCAGAATCATGCAATTTTAAAGTTAAATATTTCATTTTAGAAGTAATATCAATGGATTGTACATAAAAATAGGATTAAAATGAGGGGTCAACCATTCCTATGGGATAAGCCAAAGCGGAGTTACGGATTTTTGAACATTATTCATTTCGACCAAAATGAGGACACTTTTCCAATACAAAATCTGTGACTGTTGTGTGTAAATATAGGGTATAGGCATTAACGTATAGTAATTATTGTAGTTTATTGTATAGTGCAATATATCATAATATATTGAGGCTTGGACCCCAAAGAATTAAAAATCTATAAAACCATCACTTGATAACGGAACGAGGAAGGCATTACGCGTGTTATGCATCACGGAACTTTGCTAATTGTATATTCAAAATGGCCACCAGTTTCCTCAAATTTCACTTTAAACAGTTAAATGTTAAGAATTTTAAAAAAATAAGTAATAATATCATGTGTTGTAAGTATTTTTGCATGTTTTCAGATCTCTAGGAATGATTCTATGCCAAATTCAGCTGCCTATTTCAAGAATACTTTCATTAAAATGGCTGTCTCTTTAATATGTCCGCCAAAACAAAAATCTTGGATAAATAAACAGACTTGAACATCGGTGTTTCTCCAGCAGCAATGGTACCATGCTACTTCCAGGATGTTGTGCATTAATGAACATTGGTATTGTAATTATATATTCAAATGGCCAACAACTTCTGATGTTATAGTGTGTCTATATTTTGTTTTGTACAAAAAAAAAAAACTAAAGAGTATTATGTAATTTACAGCATCATGATTTTTTTAAACAAAACACAGCAGCTGCCTAATTAAAAAAAAAACAATTGTATGACTGCTATTCCAAGGAACATTTAATTAGAAAATTATGATGCTGCAAAAACATGAAGTACAATTCACACTCAATAAACATGGACAAACATGTAACTGAACTTAATAGTGATGCATTTATTGAATAGAACCATAGAAACTGTTTAATGACAATTACTGCATTATACTTTAATTACAAATATATTAAATTATTTTTCATTTATTTAATTATTTACATTATATTACTTTATTTATTACTTTATTTACAATATATTATATTCTTCCCTGTCAGCTGCACACAAATGTCACATACTGCTTGGTGGGTAAGTGTAGTGCGGTTCAGCTCAAAAACGGTCAAGTAGACGTCTGAATTTCTTGATCCGCCTCTTCCTGATGGGAAAGATAGATGGTGTTAATATAAAAGAAATTAATGTAAAAAAAATATTAAAATGTTGAATACAATAAAAAATACAAGGAAATATAAAACTTTTATAACATAAAATACGAATCACAGCATCTAATACATAATACTGGTAATTAAATTTAAGAAATTCAATTTACCATAAACAAAAAATAACAACCCTATTTTATATAGGAACAGTCCAAACCTGTAATTCTGTAATAAACCTGTAACCAAACAATTCCTTAATATAAAATAATTTGATTATTATCTCGAGGTATTAAAGCTGGGACCTTTGCTTTCAGGGTGAATGCTTCACCACCTTGCCATGGTGGGGGTGGGGGCAGATTCCATATTATTACAGTGTGTAGTACGTCTATGTGAATTGTGAACTACTACCTAATTTACAATGTACTATTGGAAGGTTTCTCAAGAGAAGGTGAATAGCTGCAAATACAATAAGACTTTGCTTTATTATTACAAATATTTCTTTTGAATAAAGTACATTCTTCAGATACATTATCCTTACATGAACGTCATTAGGAGTATGACTATGAGTGAGGTCTAGATCATACAATGTATCACTTTCTTCAACCTGAAAAAAAAAAAACACAGAAAAAAATGACAGTTCATGTGGGAAATCTCTTACCTATACAGTAAAGTGTGTTTAACCTTGTTCCAGAAACATTGGATGACAATTTTTTCTTTTTTCGAAAATGGATAATTATTTTTTCTAAATTAATTATTATTATAGTTCAAACATTAGTTAAAAATCAAGTCAGCTGCGAACAGTTGTGATCATTATTACATAAGTTATACAAAGATATAGTCAGTGACAGCAAAAATGCTCGTTTTACC